TTAGATAAGGTCATTGGAGTCTCTATAATTGAATCTAGACAGCTTTATAAAACTGGAGAGAGACAACACAGACACACACCAACCATGCATTCTCCTTCTGTCTTGCCATATGATGTCCTGTGATTTAGTCAGCTTTCTGCTGTTGTGAGACAAATGCCTGAGAAAAATCAACTTTTGAAAGTTTTATTTTGGCTCACAGTTTCAGAAGTTTCAGTCCATGGTGGACTGAAATATGTGGAAAGGTGTGGTAGGGCAAAGCTCTTCATCTTATAGCAGATGGCAAGCAGAGAGAGAGAGGGGGAAAGAGGTAGGGAGGGAAGATAAAAGGGAGGATGAGGGTGAGAGGAGAAGAAGATTTCTTATGAGAGAAGAAATATCCTTCCAGGAAACACCACCAGGGACCTACTTCCTCCAGCCATGCCCTAGGGTCTGTAGTTTTTACTAATTCCCAGTAGAGCCATCCAGCTGTGAATCCCTCAGTGAATTAACACAGGGTTGAGATCACTGCCCTCATGAGCTAAACACATCCCCAAAGCCTCTCTTCTGAATATTGGGGATCATACTTTATTTTTTTAAATTGTCAATGGACCTTTTATTTTATTTATTTTATATGCAGTGCTGAGAATTGAACCCAGTGCCTCACACATGCTAGGCAAGTACTCTAGCACTGAGCCACAACCCAAGCCCTGGAGACCATACTTTCAACATCAAACTTTGGGGACATTCCTCCAAAACAAAATACTCTTGGTGAGCTTCATCACATGTGGCCCTTAGACCTTGCAACCTAAGAATCATGAGCCAAAATAAACCCCTTTTCCTTATAAATTAGCCTGCCTTGGGTATTTTGTTATATTAACAAAAAGACTGATACATTCTCCTCCATATTTTGATTATTTATAAGGTCATATTGATCTTCATACTAATTTCTAAATTTACTGCTTATCACTACACATATCATTTCCACTAATAACCTTTATATAGCTTTCTCCTTTGTAATTAATCGGTTCATCAGTTAATATGATTTTCTCAATATTATGATGTAATCTCACTGTATTCTATTTAGTACAAACAACTTCCTCATATTTTGACATGGTATTATAGAGATACATGCAAGGAGAATAGATGTACACAAGAATATGGTGTATGTTTGAAGAGAGAGGGGGTTTGTCATGTTCCTAGGTGAAATCATGTAAGCATGATCTCGAGGAAGTTATAGATTGGAAGATCTGAAAGTACATAAGTATTTTTTAAAGAAATGGAGAGAAGTTTCTTATGGTTGGAGAGCATAAACATTATGGTAAAAACTTAGTGTATAAGGATAGATTTGGATCACAGAAAGGTTCTGATATTGTGATAAGAAATATGGAGTTTTTGTAGATCAGTGATCTCAAATCCTAACTAAACCAGGAAGAGAATGTAAGTAAAAAGTTAAATAGGCAGTGTATTAAAGAAGTAAGAGAGGTGGATGGAGACTGACAAATTGAAGGGCCGAGTTCATGCCCTATTTGCGGTTACTTCTCAGCTTACTCTCCTAGAAAAATACAAGTTTTGTGTTTTAAGGTTTCTGTTTTTCAAAAACTCAAGAGAAATCTAGGTTGATTAGAAATATCACAATTTTAAAATATTGACAAACAGTTAAAATGCTTTTCAAATGCATTATCCGTACAAAACCAGTGTGTCCTGTGAAGCTCCATGCGTTAGATGGTACAGTTTAAACAGTAGTTTGTAATCTCTTAAGTAGTGGGATCATTTTCACGTTTAGGGTGATAACAATGGTAGCTGTGTTGAACATGGATTTTGGGCAAGTGTGGAATAGCTGGAGTGGAGACAGGTACAATAGAACTTTAAAGATGAGAGAGATGTGAATTATTAGTAGTACTTTATTATAATGGGAATAGATAAGGTTCTTCCCATACATACTAATAGTAAAATAAATACAAATTGATCAGTAATGAAAAATAGTTCTCGTTTTCATCCCTTATCCCTAATCTTTGTTCACCCTATGTAGAGGCAACTGGTTTTACTAGGTTGTAGGGTATATCTGAAGGTAATCTGACAGTGTTTAATCTATATGTGTTAGTGTGAATGTTCCTGCACAAAAATAATGCACAGTTAGACCCCTTTCTCTGAGGGGTACATTCCAAGACACCCAGTATGCACCTGAAACCTTGGATAGTAACAAACCTCATATGTACTTATTTTTTTTAAATATGTCTGCATGTCCTACAGTGTTGTCATATAATATCAGAGGTATTCTGTCTTTCTGTTTTGTCTCCAGATACCTCTTTGCATCAGTACTTTTGTGCTTTGGGGCAATTATTAAGTAAAATAAAGGTTACTTGAACACAATCATTGCAGTAACTTGACAGATGATCTGATAACCAACTATTAAGTGACTAAAGTGCAGATAGCATATACAGTATGGATATAGGGGATAAAAGGATGGATGATTCATGTCCTATTTGGGATAGAATGAGACAGTGTAAGATTTCATCATGCTACTTTAGTTTTAGTCGACTTTTGCATCACTGTGACTAAAAGAACAACTTAGAAGAGGAAATATTTATTTTGGTTTACGGTTTCAGAGGTTCAGTCCATGGTTGGCTGATTCCATAGCTCTGGACTCAAGATGAGACAGAATATTATGATGGAATGGTGTGTCAGGGAAAAAGCAGCTCAGAACATGGCAACCAGGAAGCAGAGAGTGAGCTCTGCTCACCTGGGACAAAATGTAAACCTCAAAGGCATGCCCCCAGTTACCTATTTTTCCAACCACAACCTACCTGCCTACTGTTACAGCCCTGTTAATCCATTCAAGTGGCTGAGTCCATCTCATAATCTAATCATTTCACCTCTAAACATTCTGAGTTTTTTGGGTTCACTGTATATCCAAACCATAATACATTGTGGTACATAATTTAAAACTTAAATGGTTTTTTTCTGGGATTTTCCATTTAATATTTTTGGACTATATATAGTTGATCGTAGAAAGCAAAATTGTGATAAAAGGTACTATTTTAATGAATATATGTCTGCATCTTTGTTTAGCAATATATCTTAGGAATTTTTCTTTATTCATATAAAAGTAACCTATTCTCATTACCATTTAGATTGTATCTCATTGTATAGATATGGTTATATTTGATTTATTCAGGCCCCTATTGTGGATATTTAAGAGATTTCTAGTCTCTTTTTACAAAAAGGCATGTTTGATGTATATCCTTGTATGTATATGTGTTAGTTTTCTGTTGCTGGGACAAATACCTGAGAAAAGTAACTTAGAGGATGAAAGATTTGTTTTGGCTACAGTTTCAGATTTTAGTCCATGGTCAGCTGTCTCCTTTGCTTTGGGCCTGAGGTGAGACAAAACATCATGGTAGAAACACATGGCATAGGAAAGCTGCTGACCTCATGGCAGCCAGGAATCAGAGAGCAATCTAGGAAGGAGCCTAGGAACAGAAATGCCCTTCCAAGATGCTGCTCCAGTGACCTGCCTCTTCTAAGTAGGCCTCTTCTTTTACTTTCCACTACCTACCATTAATGCTATCCAGCTATGAATCCCTCAATAGATTAATCATTGATGACTTTAGAAACATCAAGATCCAATCCATTCCCCAAAACCCTTCTTATGAACTTGCTGCATTGAGTACTAAACCTTCAACACATGAAACTTTGGGGGATATTTCAGATTTAAATCACAACAATATATCATTGAATTTATGTGTTGTGTATTTGGAGGATGAAACTCCTAAGTGAAACTGCTAGATTAAATTCTGATGATTTTAATGCATTTCTCTTAAAAGCGGTAGTACCATTTACTTTCTCTTCCACAAGGTATCACAGTGTGCTTCTGTATACTGGAGCCATCATAGAAGACATTGACAGTTTTATTTTTGTAAACAGAATAGGAAAAATGGATTTTTGTCTTTTTAGTTGTTTTTTCATTTAATTGTGAATAAGAGAGCATTTTTCATATTTGGAAAAAAGTCTACTTGCCTGTATTTTCTATGAAATAATTTTCTCTCCCAATTTTCTAGTGTGCTGACTTTTAAAAAAATGGTTTATGGAAGCTTTTTATTAGGAAAATCAGCAAAGATTATTTCTTTCTGTATCATTTTTACTTTTAACTGTTTTTAATTTAAAACTATTCTCATAGTTACAGCTCCACTTTAAAGTTTCAGTCTTTATTAAAGATTTATTTTTATTAAAGGCAAACATTTATAATAATAACATCTTAGATATTTCTAGTTGAGTATATGGTAAATGAATTAGAATCTATGATTTGGAAAGGCCAGTCATTTGTATGCATTACTTTAGGATTGTCAAAAATATTAAGAAATTTTATAATCTTCTATGTTCATGATTCCTAAATAGTGCATATTTTTTTCTTTATGACATCATGAATTTTTAAAAGGACATAAAGTATTTAGTAACAGTATTTGAGCAGTTCTGCTATAAGTTGGATAATCCAGGTAAGCCTAGAGTCTGAGGAAAAGTGCTATTTACTTGATTTGGTTGGTAATATATGTTCTCTAATATAAATGTTGGCTAAGAACTTCAGGGTGACTCTCTTGCTTTATGCTGTTGTATCAGTTTTACCCATTCCTTGTATCTTTCTGAAAAAATTTTGAATTTTTTCTTAGGGCCCATTATACTAGAGTAGAGCTGAACTTTTATGCCTATTTTGGATTGCCCTGCCATGCATGGTCATCATTTTTACCTCCCTCTATTCTATTAAATTTGATTGCAGTTGTGGGCATAAGTAATATTGTAATTGTTCCATTCTATAGCAACTTTAGTATTTTTTATATATATTTTTAGGCTACCTCTTTTAAAATCTAACTGAAAACATAATTTGAATTATAAATGATAGTTTTTTCTAAAAACCAGATGGTTTAAAATAAAATGCTTAGCATTAGACAGCTATTATCACTTGATATTCATCTAAACTGGATCAGAAACTCAAGCATTGAAAGTTATCATTCATTTATTCTTTCTAGGAGTTTCTTTGAGTTGCTGCTGTTCTTTGGAAGAGATGAGTTTTATGAAGAGCCCCTAAAAGATATTCTTGGATCATTCCAGGTAAAACATATTTTGTCTACATTTAGTACACATTTATTCTAGCCTAAAAATGGTTTATTGGTTATTTATTGCTTGCAAGTTTTTATGATCACTTAGTTGACTACTGGCAGATAAAGAAAGGTCTTAAAATTAATTTTTAACTGTATTCCAAAGCAGTTCATAGCCAAGATTCCAGTTCCACATTTGCTAGATCAGAGCTGCTACTGTCCTTGTAGATTCTGATGCACATTTTGGCATATATCTCACTTTTTATTGCTGTAATATATAGAACTTAACCATGGTGAAAAGCATTTTTGGCTAGAATAGAAGTAAAGTACTGACTGTTATATGCCCCTTTTTCCTTTAGCTATACCTTGATTTTCTCATCTCAAAATAACCTTCCTAGCAAAGCTTTTTGCTTTTTTTTTTTTTTTTTTGATGCATCTGGTGTAGGAGAGAATAAATCCAGATAAGAATGACAGAATATTTCAAGACCCCTCCTGTAGACGAAAAGAATATTTGATCTTTTTTATCATCTACCTGGGTAGCAACAAACTAGTTCCCTGTGTGTCCTTTATCTTGACAGTACTTCTCTTGGCTGGAATAAAGGAAAATATGTTTTGAACTTCATCAGTGGCATATTGTATATATATTACTGTGGTGTTAAAATAAAAGCTTATGGTATACAGGAATATTGCTGTATTATATAAATTATTTTGGTATTTCTACTTTATCCATTCTTACCATAGTAGAAGATCAATATATCTGTTCTTATGGAATTCAAGATCTAATTAGAGATGTATTCTAGTGTCTGGCACTTTGTAATTTTCCATTCCACTTTTCCTTTGACACTTGTGTTCTTGGCAATCCAACTTGAACTTTTACTCAGATATGTATTGTTTCACCATAATGTGGCAGGCACTAAGCTCTGGGGAAACCAGTAGTAAACAAAATAGAAAGACTCTGTATTAGAGAGTTTAATTCTAATATAGGGAAAGACAGTAACTAAGGTCTTTGTAAATGAAGAGTATTTTAGAAAAGAACAATTAAGGAAATTGAGAGTGTTGACCTGGTAGTATTCGGGAAAACACAAATGAAATGTTTTAAATGGTGTGATCAGGAAATACCTCATGGAGGTGTCAACTGAGCACTGATAATGGGAATCACCTAAGTGTACTGGAGTTATTGAGAGACAGTATTTCTATTTTAAAAGTACAAAAACATAACATTTACAAAGGGAACATCCTTATTCTCTTAGAAGCAGGGTTTCCATTCTGTTATTGAAATAATCCCTCAAGGGAGAATTTGTGGTTTTCCACATTTTTTAAATTTTTTATTTCTTGCTCTAATCCCAGCTGAATTCTAAAGACTAAAACCTAACCTACTGCTTTAAAAAAAATCTCTGCCCCTTTTGTGGTTGTGGCTTCTTCCTACTGTGAATTTCTTTTGAGTTTTCTAACTCCTACACCTAGGAGAGGTTTCACCTTTTCTTCCCATTTTAGTTTTACTTAGGGAATCATGCTTCATTTTCTAAATTGAGTTTACTGCCGTTGTTGCTTCCTAGGCCTCCAACTCCAGAAATCTAGCAAAGGTCAACATGTAATCCATGTATACTTCCCTAAAACTTTGTATTGCTAAGCTTGAAAATTATCCAGTCTTTTGTCTGATCTTTGAAAAGGCAATGCAAATCCTAATGTTACCTTTTGAAAATTTTTTTTTGTTTTTTTGGATACCGGGGATTGAACTCAGGGGCACTCAACCACTGAGCCACATCCCCAGTCCTATTTTGTATTTTATTTAGAGACAGGGTCTGAGTTGCTTAACGCCTTGATGTTTTGTGCTGAGGGTGGCTTTGAACTTGTGATTCTCCTGTCTCAGCTTCCCGAGCCACTGGGATAAAAGGCATGCGCCACTGTGCCTGGCTGAAATATTTTTATGTACTATACTTGTGTAAGTCTTATTTTTCTAAGTGATTCCTATCCATTGTTTGTAGAATTATACCAGATTAAGATGGAGTTCTTTTTTTGTCTTCCATAAATGGGGCAAACACCTGTTGTTGATACTTTAATGTATATTAGATCACTTTAGGATTTTGTTAAGATTCTGATTATAATCAAATAGGAAAGTTATAATGTGAGGTAAGACCTGATAGTGTGCATCCTAACAAGCTCCCAGGTGATATTGCTGGTGCCATTCCTGGACCACACGGAGTTGCAGTATACTAATATTCTTTATGAGATTTGAGTATACTTTCTTGTTTTTCCCTCCCGTATTTCAATTGTGAAAATCCCAGCTTCACCACTCTGTCATTTTGTGAAAGTTACGTAATTTCTATAATGTTTTCCTTATTTGTAAATTGGTGATGATAATTGTACTTCATGCATAGTGTCATTGAATAGTTAGTAAAGTGCTTGATAGCATTCCATGCAAAATGACCATGTCACTGTTCTGAAGGTCTGTCTGGTGCAGGATGTAGATTCTCAAGTTTTAATGCCTTAATTTCAGATTTTACAGTAAAACCAAAACCTAACTCATAAACTTATTCTGTTATTTTATCAATTTGGGATCTCCTAAAATCTGAGTTGTACAGTTAAGAATTTTAATTTCTCTTTGAAATTTTTGTTTGCACTATTGCAAGATGAACTTCCATTCTTATAGCCAGATATTCCATTTCCTGACTTCTAAGTTTCTTTTTAGCTTTGATTTCTAATAAGTTTCTTTATCTCAACATAAGATGACACACTTCTCAAATGGTGAACCTGCTTCACGCATCATTATCATTAAAAAAATCTTCTAGATAACCAGCAAAATTACATTGCAAAAATGAGGAGAAAAAATCATTGTGAATTTTGGAAACTAGGATAAAGGCCTTTTAAAGTACTCAGACTTGAAAATCATATTGAGTGATGGTTCAAACAATACTTTGTTGACTGAATATGATAAAATAGGGAAATATATGAGAAAGAGAAAAAAAGAAAAAGCTTTCAGGGGTATCCAGTGATCCCATCCCCCACCATTAGCATGTAACAGGGACTGGATGAAATAGCAGATCCTGGGGATATGGTATGTGGCCAATCTCATCTTTGCTGGTGTTTCTGAAAAGTGTATCAGGAATATAGTATAGACCCAGAAGCAGGAATCCTAGTGTAACTGTTATACTCACATTAAAAATGGAATGTATGGGTCTGCCTAAAAGATTTCTTACCATTGAGAAAATGAGAGTATGACCCAAATGAAACTCTCCCTGTTCTAATACTGAGGGATAGTCTTATGGGGAGGAAATGTGGTTAACTCCCACTGAAGCTTTCTGCTTACTCCCTTATATGCCACTGAATTAACAAAATTACTGTTGTGTATACAAACCTTGCCCTTTTCTTTTTTTTTTTTTGGATCTGAAGGAATTAATACAGACATATCTGTCCACTAGTAAAACACCTCTCTGTTCTAAAAGTTCTAGATAAACGTGACCCAAGAGTTGAATGTGGCAGTGCAGGTTTGTAATCCCAGTGACTTGAAGACTGATGCAGGGAATCTGCAAGTTGAAGGCCAGACTTGGCAACATAGCAAGACCCTTCTCAAAATAAAAACATTTTTAAAAAAGGGAAGGGGGAGAAACTCAGTGGGAGAGCAACCTGGGTTAAACTCCAGTAGTACATACATATATACACACAGAGATAATTAAAGAGAATAAATACCACTTTCATCAGTTACATTGTAAGATAAAATGGTAAAAATTTTAAAAAGGATCTTATATTCTTGCTGAGGTTAAGTTCAAATTATCTTCCATGAAGTTTTATGAATATAAAATATTGCATGGAGATAAAACTACTAAATTGAAAGTGCTGTGAAATAATCTGTGAAAATTATTTTTAAAAAAATTTATAATTTTTATTCAGGCATATGTTTTTATAGTTTTCAGTTTTCAAAATAAACAAAAGTTCCCACAGGATTTCCACAAAGGGGGAAAATAGGCTGGCAATGAACTTATATGGTAACAAATGCCAGAATAAATAAATATTATCTGTGGAGATTTTCGAAGGAAAAAAAAACATTTAATAATATAGCTGCCAAGCCCTATAGTTTATTAGAGAGGTCAACAAAAATATATAGTTAAATAATTGGAAAACAAAGTGTCTACAGGACTTCTATCAGCATAACAAAGAAGCATCCTATATGATTAAACAAAGAACTTACAGTTAGGATCCTTACACAATAAAAGAAATGGGACTAACCTGAGGAAATAAGAGTCTGTAAACTATTGTTATTATGACTATTGTGAAGTTTGTATTAATGCCAACTGATTCTGGAAAAAATATAAATTGTTAAAAAAACCCCACAATAATCTGGAACTAAAGTCTCAGATTATAGTATTGACTAAATGGGGATAAATAAGATAGGGAAGACTCAAGTATATTCTGGGGAAAGCTAAGCTGAAGTAACCGTGTAAAGTGATATCCTTTGCTAAGTGGGCAATGATTATACAGATACAAACAGGCTATAGAAGGATATAAGTCCCATTCCAGACTTGCTTTATTAAATATCACTGGAACATCCAAGTATTAATGACAAATAAATGGTTAAACTCATGATTCTGTTTGCATTTTCCTAATTTTTTTTAAAACCAAGAACACATATTACTTTTATTAAGCGAGAGAAAAACAGATGTTAGGATTTTTAATTAATTAAAAATTAAAAGACTCAGATAATGACTAAAATGTTAACCAAAACAGTAATCTAAAAGTGTTTTACTGATCCAGCTCTGCAAATGAGCCTGCCCTAATCTTTGAGAAAACATTATCCCCCTTACTTTGGAGTTAGTGTATAAGTCAAAGTCAGAGATCTTTTTTTGTTTGTTTTTGTTTTTGTTTCTGTTTTTCCCCAAACTAGAATTAGGCCTTAGTTAAGCTTTCTTTTCTTTTGTGTAACTTCATAGCATTTTTATCTTTGTGTCCTTTGGGTGAGTGGAAGGTGAGATGCCATCTTCCAAGCAGTAGTAGGCCCAAGGCTATCTTATTGTAATAGCATTATAAGAGCAAAATATAATCAAAGGTTTGTGCAAAAGAGTTTAGTACTTATCTCTCATAGAACTACAGACTTGCCACTAAAAAGTAGACTATGACCCCTTTCTGGAATATGTGGAAAAAGTTTCTTAAAGATTTAATTTGGCAAAGGCTTATTCTTGGTATTCAAAACAAAACAACCATATAGTGCTGATTAAAAGAATATAATCATATTAGCTTTATAGCAAGGCATTTGGAAAGAGCAGTTTCAAATATTTATATTTGAAATTTCTATTTTCTTAAATAGAAGTTCTTATCTGTCTCTGCTCAAATCCATCTTGACTACATATGACTTTTCCCCTTCTTTTTTTTTCTACCATTACCAAAGTACTAATCCACTTATATTCTCTCTCTAGTAGGCAGAAACTGACTTTCATCCCTTTCATACCAATACTTAGTAGTCTTAATCCCTTAGTCCTGATACGAATGTTGCCAAAGCAAATAATAAATATGTTCACAGTTATTTCTGATGTCTAGCCATTCCTTTCTTTAAAAAGAAAAACAAAAACTAACCCCCTTTTAGAGATCATCCTTGCTGAGCAAATGTAAACATAAAACAATTAGGTATACTGTTTGAAACTATTTTAGTCCATTGGTTACCACCATGTACACTAAAATGGGACAGATCAATCAAGGTTGTTGGATAAAAATGTCAAATATTTACTTAGACTCTACTTTGACAATGTGTAAGAAAAAGGGAAATTGAAATATGCTTAATTATGAGAAAAGTATAGGGAAAGGATTTCACTGTCTATGAAAGAAACATATTTGATTAGTGCACCATACAGTTAGCACTTTATTTCATTCCTGTTTCCTATTAAGAGCTATTTCCATAGGAGTGGTTTCCAAAATAATGGTATATTGATGTAAGAAGTACTTATATGAGGTTGGGCATGGTGATGCATACCGTCCCAGTGACGCAGGGGCTGAGGCAGGAGGTTCGAAAGTTTGAAGCTAGCCTCAGCAACTGAGCAAGACCTGGTCTCAAAAAACAAAAAAAAAGAAAGAAAGAAAGAAAAAGAAAAAGTATGTACATAAAAAAAAACAAAACAAAACAAAGCTACAATTTAGAATTTATTTTATTTTAGAAAACTTGAATACAAGCTAATTTACTAACTTTTATTAGAAGGACTGATAGTATATAATTTATAACAACATTTATGCAGTGTACATTAAATGTAGGCATCAAAAACAAATGCAACTGTCATGGTTTCATGTGTCCATAGTCCCAGTAACCGAAGAGGCTGAAGCAGGAGGATTTCTTGGGTCCAGAGTTTGGGGTCAGCCTTTGTAACACAGTGAGATCCTATCTCTAAAAAGACTCCAAAATCCAACTATCCCAAAGTTGCCTTTAAGTGGGAATTATTAAATAAATAGATTGTCACGGCTTTCCCCTACAAATTCTGATTCAATGGTTTAAGTTGGGATCCAGAATATTTTTAAACAAAACCTCCAAATATTTCTTTTTTTTAGCCAAGTTTAGGAAATAGGCAGTACACTTTGACTTGGGCCTAAGTTCAGTTCTAAGTTCAACACTAATAGTTATATATAATTTGTGCCTCAATTACCATAAGATAGCTGGAAAAATGGACTGTCTGAGGGTTCAGCAGCAGAACTAGGCTAACCAGCGTCTGAGGGGGTGGTGTCCAGTTTACCTTATTTCTTGCTTTGATTGGACCAAAGGCCAGCTTCCTAATAGTTTAACTTTAAGGGCAATAGTGTGTGTGTGTGTGTGTGTGTGTGTGTGTGTGGTATTTGTTTACCTTGTGAGGCTTAAAATTCATGATTATTTTTAACCATGAAACTTCTGCCATAGATCATTATTATGTTTCACAACTGTTATGCTGATCAATAACTTTATACTTATTTTTTATGTATTCTCTCACATGTGGAAATAGTGAAGTCTCTTTTTTTAATGTTAAGGTGACTGGGTGTTGTGAAATAAAATACCTTTTCAAAATGTTAAAAAACACTAAAAGAAATCAAAGTTAACATTCATTGAATGCTTAATAATGAAGCACTGTCCCAAGCACTTTTTTAATACCATATATTATTATTTAATCCCCACAACAATCATACAAAGTAGGTGCTGTTGATTAATGATGGAGCACAGAGAGCTTAAGTAACTTGCCCACTGTTTATAAGATTTTTTGTTTGCCTGCTTATTTTAATTTGGGGACATCCTTAAGTAACACTTAAGATTTATTTCATGATGTTTAGACTTAACAATCCTTTGACTTATATGACTGAATTATTCATTTGCTTAAAATTTGATTTCTTCTATCATGTTTTCTTTTGAAACAAATGAAACCTTCTTTTTTAGCCAGGAAGTTAAGGTGGCATACAGAAATCACTTTTTAGTCTAATATGGAATGTTCAAATGATAGAATCTGACTATTTAATACAAGTAAAATATTTATAGTCACTTTGAATATGTAGCTTGATAGTTCATCTGATAATGAATCTTTACTTTATAACCTTACTAAGTTTTTAATGTCTGAGGTATTTGTGAGCATAGAAAAAAATTCAGGCAATTGCCTGTATTTTAATTGATACACAGTTAATATTTAAAAATTTAACTTGTCAGTTGTCTTTTTTTTTTCTTAAGGTGTCAAGCTCAGTATTTTAAAAAATAATACTTTCACTGGGACTTCAATTAATCTTGAAATTTTCAGACTAAATTTCCTGAAACATCTTAAAAAACAATACTTAACAGTACAGTATAATGATTCAAAAAGCACAATCAGCCGAACAAATCTTGTAAATTTCAATCTAATCAAATTTATTAGAATCAAGTTCAGTAAACCAGGTTCTCTTAAATATTAAATGTTGCTTACAAATGTAACTTCTATTGCAAATTCCATATTATAATGATTCTCCAAAACATTTTACATATCCTTAAGAAAACAGATATGTAGACAAATTACCCTTTATCAATATGTATCTTTTTTCCAACATATATCTTAAACCTCATACAAATTTTTCACATTATGGGTTGGATTTTCTTCAACTTGTCTTTTTTTCATCCCCAAACTACATATCTAATTACTGAACAAGACAGAATAGAACTCTCCATCTTCCAGCTTTCTACCACAACTTAGAATCTGGCATAAATTCAGGGCAGGGCAGGGGACCTATGTCTACCTGCAAACCAGAGTGTGCATACTGAGCAGGGCTTACTCTACATCTTCTTGTTCAGCTCTTGCCTGCCATTTGAAGTTTTGAGTACTAATACAATTTTAACAAAACATTTTAATTTTCAGTTTCTTTGCAATCTGGTTCTTTGCCTAGAAATGACGCATTCTGTAAGTTTTTCCCTTGGGTTACACTTCATCTTTGTTTTAATGGGATTTTCTAAGTCCAATTATGTACATTCTGTGTAACTTTTGGCATTAAGGCCAGTTTGTGTACTAATTGGATTTTGTCACCCTACATGTTACAGTAGTACCCCTTTCTCTTTTATAATTTAATAGCTGTTTCATTTGGCCATTAATGATTTTTACTGGCAGTGATTATCAAGTTTAGTTTTTATCCCTTTAAATTCACAAAGCCAAAATGATTTTTCTTTCCTAGGAATGCCAGAATCACCTCCGCAGATATGGAAATGTGAATCTGGAACTGGTGACGCGAATCATTAGAGATGGTGGCCCATGGGAAGATCCAGTGTTGCAAGCTGTTCTTAAAGCCCAGCCAGCATCTCAGGAGATAGGTACTTCAGGAGATTCAAAATCAAAACCAACATTTGTGAGAAGCAAACACAATTTTGTTTCCTTATTAGAGCAGCAGTAGTCATTTCTCTTTATTTTATAATACTGAATAATGGAGTAATTTATTTTCAAATGAAGAATGTTTAAATTGTTATTCTGATCTGGCCCAGACTGATTTTTGACATTAGATTAGGTACATTTATTTCAAGTAATGGGAATTGAGAATGTATTTACTGAATATTACTTATTTATAGGGAGTTTATCACTTCAGTTATAGTTTTAAAATCTGTTTAAGAAAGAATATCCTTATTTATAAAAGTAAAAATAAAAACTTTTCATGAAACCACATGGGATCTCCCTTACACGAAACTCCATAAAGGCTGGAACTCTGAATTTATTCTCACCAACACTGTATATTCTACAATTAGTCCAGTGCCTGGTGTAGAGTAACTATTTAATATAAGTATTTGTTGAATAAATGAATGACTAACTAAATGAATAAATACATTTTAATACTAATTCCAAATACCATCATAGAGCAGTATTTCTCTAAACTTCATCTACTAATAGAAGTTCAGTTTTATTTCATTCCCTTACTAGCTATATCCTTCTTTGTCATCACCTCCTGTCAAATAGTAATCTTCCTGTGACCCTTGTGGGCCAAAATTTCTTTTTGAGTCAGGAGAGTCTGTCAGCTACTTAATCCTTTTTTTTTTTCTTTTTGTTTTGTGTGTGTGGGTCACTTATTATTAAACTGCTCTGAACTTAAGAATATTTTGTGTCACCAAACATAGAATGTTTGTTTGGAAGCTGTGAATATAAGCACAAAGGTGTGGGAAACATTTGAAAGTGGGGAGGGAGCCTATAAAGCAAAGTTATAGGAAACCAGAGAAAAAAGAGCTCACAACCCTGGAACCAGTTAGTCCTTGACTGGTGAGAAAGATACTTTATACTACAGATTATGCTGAGCAGGTTAGGATATTTCCATTTACGCCAGGTTAAGTGTGGGGTAGGTTGTAAGTGGACCTGAAGGAGGGAAGAGGCTGTGATTCTCATATTTAAGAATAAACCACCTGCAGATACAAATGTAGAACTATGAGAGTGAGAGAAGATGAAGAGAGAAAACCAGGAGAATAAGTACAAAGTGGGGTATTTGAGATAAGACTTTAAGAAAAGGACTAAGGTATATATGACAGTGGTAGAGAACCCAATAGATACAAAAGAGATGTGTGTGGATCTTGGAAAAGGATTAAAATAGAAGAGAAAATAGGAGAGGGAGACAGTTGAAGCTGAGGAGAAAGAGTTAGATTATTTAGGAAAAGTATAAAGTATCTAATATAGTAAAGGCAAAGTTTACTGGGAAATGTGGCCAGTGGAGATAGGAGATAGACAAAAGCTTCAAAAGGAGGGAGGAAAAGGGAGAAGAAAGTTTGGACGTCTACAGGAATTTTTAGCCTCTGAGTAGAAGCTAAAGCAAACCTATTATTGGTTGTTCTAAGGGATAATGGCCCTTTAGACCGCATATCACATTAGAATAATAAATATTCCTTTCATAACTACACTAGCAAGCTTCTGGAAAAGCTGCTCTAGAGCCTCATTAATATGGAAAACTTTTCTTTAGTTAGTGATCATTACAGTAAAGATTAGGGTGAAGTTTATTTATGTATTAACTACAAATCAGTGTTTGCCCATCATATCATAACCAGAATTACAAGGCTAATGTTTAAGCCAAAATAAAACATTACTTATAAGCCCTTCATTGATTAAACATATGTAAGTAATCAAACAGTTTTGGATTCAAAGTCATAGAATAAATGTTCCAGTTTTGGTCCTGCCACTTAAAAATTCTTTTTCCTTGGGCAAGTTATTTGACCTCTCTGAGACTCAAGAAATGTCACAAATATCATAAGACCTTTCATAAGGTTATTGTTAGGTCTAAATAAACTTGTGTAGTTAAGAGTGCTTATATATTTCAAACTGTGTGAATGTAGGTATAAATTAGTAATTATCCTTATGTAATACATGAGCATTTTAACAAGCAGTTCTATTTGGCACTATTTTGGATAAATTTTAAAATAAATTTTTAAAATAAAATATATCTCATTATTGTTTTTTCACTAACATATTGCTTTTCTAATTAATCTGAATTAGTGTGGTTTAATGTGATAATTTAGGATTCAGCTTTTTAATCTTATAGTAATTAAAATAATGGGCTGTAGGAAGAGAAACTATGTAATCTGAGACTAGAAAGGCATCATAGCCAGTACCCTTTGAAACATATTATCAAACTAAAGAGGAAAATTTATTTTCTCTTTCTTAAATTTTAGGGTTTTTTAAACTCTTGAGTGCTGTTTTGGTATTGTTCTTATTTTCATTTTTCCAACCATATAACTGAAAATTCTTTTCATAAATAAAGTTTACTAAAGAAAATGTTAGTTAAATAACTTGTTAATCTCATTAGATATCATATTTTAGTGGTAAAGTTTCAAACAAAGTTTTAGAGAATCTTTTCTTGAGGGTAACAGAGTGTTTCTTTTTAATATAGTGAACAAATATTTAAGTTCTGAAAATCCACTGTTCTTTGAACTACGTGCCAGATACCTAATTGCTTGTGAACGCATACCTGAAGCAATGGCTCTTATTAAATCTTGTATAAATCATCCAGAAATCAGTAAAGACTTGTACTTCCATCAAGCATTCTTCACATGTCTGTTTATGTCACCTGTGGAAGACCAGCTATTCCGTGAGGTATTGTTTGAGATTTTTGCCAATTACCATTTTAACCTTACCAAAGGGGGGCAGGATAGCTCATTATTATTGAATTATTTTTTTCATTATACCAATGATTTAAAGATCACATTATCTTGATGTGTTTTCTTTTGGCACCATTCTTTAAAAACATGTTGAATTAGAACCTGATATTAACAAATAATTAAATTAATAAAATATATTCTCTAATAAACATTACTTGAACTTTTGGTGTGACAGAAAGGGTCAAATAAAAAGCAAAAAACACTGTGATTTTGCCTTTTACCTAATGTACTAAAATGCTAAATGCTCATATTTATTTATTTTTTCAAGATTAAAGAATGAATTTTTTCCCAATATGGAAACTACTTGCCTGCAGGTTCTAGGCATTAATGAAATTACAAGCACTCATTATAAAATGAAGGTGCTATGCAGTAAAAATAAGAAACATTAAAATATTTCTCTATAATTCATCATTGCCAGTAGTTTCTTCTGTTTAAATACTTAATGAAATTAGCTTTTTAGACATTTTTAATGAGATGAACTGATTTTTCCTTTCTCACAGCATTTATTGAAAACAGACTGTAAGAGTGGAATTGATATCATCTGTAACACTGAAAAAGAAGGCAAGACTATGTTAGCTTTGCAACTTTGTGAATCCTTTCTTATTCCACAGCTCCAGAATGGTGATATGTACTGTATATGGTAAGTATTCCTAATACAGAAATTAAAATGGTAAGATGGGTACCAGAGGGAGAAATGATTAGGAGTTTGGACTTCATAGCTATTTTAATATTGTGTGAAAATATTAAGCTATTTTAAAAATTTTGTGCAAAGAACAACAGTATAAGAATTAAATATCTTAAAAAGAAAATAATCATGTGTAACTCATTGTTTAAATTTTCAAGGTATGTGTTATAGTGAAACAATGTTTGAAATTAAGTTTTGGAGCATGAATTTTTAAAAAACATTTGAAAACTATTTAAAAGTTTTAAGTAGGATTTTTAAAAAGTGCTTTCAAATTTTAAGTTCTTTAAAACAATATATTGAAGGCATATAGTTCCAAATTATATTTGAACATTTTTGTTTTTTAGATTAAAATTTTCATATAGCTTAGAGAAAGGGACCTAGGAAGAAGTGCACTTGTCTTCTAGGCGAGTAGTATACTTTTCTTAGTTAAATTTTTTATTTTTATTTGAAAAATTGACCATGTCAACTGGAATTGCAAATAGTGGAAGAGAACAAGGAGATGGTGGTGAGACACGTGAACTTTTAAGTAGTTTTAAAAGTATTATCATGTTTTGTATTCTGAAATGGAATATAGTCATGACTGATAATAGTAGATCTTTTCCGATGGGGATAAGAATGTTCTCTGCCCTTAGCTCTAGCAAACTATTTAAATAGGGTATCTTTAGTCTTTTAATTTATTCAGAAGTGAATGGAACCAAGTGTAAACCAACAAACAGAAAGATCTGCTTTATTTTGTTTTTTTCTTTGTTAAATTTTTATTCTTTAAAGAGGGAACTTAAAATGGAATAATGCCTATATCTTCCAGCTCCTGGAAGCAGTGTGTGTGTGTGACTCCTACTTTCTAACCAGAAAAGAGTCTTTCTTTTTGACCCTTCTTTCTGAAAAACCTAAGTTTTTTTTTTTTTTTTTTTGTACCAAGGATTGAACCCAGGAATGCTTTACCACTGAGCTATATTCCCATTCCTTTTTATTTTTAATTTCGAGACAGGATCTTGCTAAGTTGCTTAGAACCTTACTAAGTTGTTGAGGCTGGCCTCAAACTTGCCATCCTCTTGCATCATTTCAGCCCCCTGAATGGCTGGAATTACAGATGTACCCTGCTGTGTCTGGTCCACAATCTAGTTTTATTCTATCTCAAGCCAACAGGGCAAGCTACTATCCCCATTTCTTTTTCATTGTCATTAATAATAACAACAATAACAAAAATGTCCAACATTTAGTGAGTGCTTCTTATGTTTGATATATGCATTATCTCATTTAATCCACAGTCTTATGGAGTAGATAATACTATGTTCAAGCCATTCAGTTTGGAAGTAAAGCCAGGATTCAGACCTAGGCAGTTTCACACAACAGCTTGTGCTGTTAAACATTACCTACTAAATAAGCATCAAATTAAGGGAAAACCCCCATGTTGTTAGGGTGACTGTAGACTCTGTAATAGCTTTCTCTTAGAAATTAAGTAACTTGTTGATTATATTAATAGTTAATAGGGCCCTTTATAAGCTACCTGGGAAGTGTTTGTATACTGAATGGACCTTCTGATTAAAGGAAAACTGAGCTTTATTAACTTGACTTTATAGATTTCTAAATGAGGACTATCGGTGGTTTTCAAGGTGTTTTTTCTTGTTTTCCCTCAAAATCCAACATACAAGTAAAAATAAGATCTCATAAATTCATTCAAAATGGAGTTTTACAACTGCATGCTAAGATTTCTGCTTTGCCTGTTACACAACTAAAATCCATCTGGTAACCCATTCTGGCAAACTTATTAGGATCTTAGAATATTTATTTTATCAAGTTTTCTTATGACTTAATTATGACTTAATGAAATAAAAGGGAAATAAAGATTTTTGTCCTAACACAAAAAGAAAAAAAATTCCCTTCATTTTGTGCCCTAAGACTGTAAGGACCTCAAATTATTTTCTTAAACAAGCTATAAAGTAAAAAAAATATACATTTCCAATATGTTAAACATTCATTTGTATGATATTGAGTAGAATATCTCTCCCATGATTTTCAACTGTCATTTTGTTTTAAAATTTGTTGAAGAGCTATGGTATGTCTTTTTAAATATAGTTAGTTGATCTGTTTCCCTTCATTCATATCCATCTTTTCATAAAACACTTCTTATTTGTAATGTCCACCATCATCTCTTATCTCATTCCATGTGTAGTTTCTCTTACTATAGTCAGTCCTTCAAGAGGGTTCAGCATTTAGGAATATAGTAGTTGCCATATTATCAGGCTAGGGGTATAGCTCAGTGGTAGTGTACTTGCCTCATGTTATCATGTGTGAGGCCCTGATTCAGTTCCCAATCCCCCACACCCCTAACACATACATAGATTACCAGATTATCACCGTAAAAATGGTTGTTGACTAAATCTTAGTGCTTGGCACTATAAAATTACAAAGACAAGAAATGAACATAAGAAATTACCGATTAAATGTCAATATATGCTAGACATTTCATTTATGTGTTTCATTTATCTCCCTTAATTCTTTTAATAAAAATACTGAATAAAAGTTAAGTGAGCATTGGCTTTTTAATCTTATTTTTGAAATTTCAGTTACTACATCTGTTGTCCCTTTTGATAACTTCTGAAACCAAAGCATTAAATGAAATTAATATATCTTCAGTCTTTCTTTTCAAACACTAAAATAATATTTTAAAAAATTTTTAAAAAAATGTTGAATAGTAATAATCTCAGTTTTTATGTATAAGGAAGCTGTAGCTGAAAGAGATAAAAGTCACAAAGCTAATAAAAAATGGAGTTGTAATTTACACTAGTCTGGGAGTAAGAGAGGTGTTTCACTAGCATGGAGGAAAGATAATATTTATTGAAAGCATACTGGAATGTGACATGAGACACAAGAAGAGCAGAAATACAGTCAGTCCTCAAGATAACTGCTATCAGGGACAGGGAGATTGCTAGTGTTCCTAAAAAATTTGTTTCCCCCCCCCCCAATTTATTTAGTTATTTTTTACATACATGACAATAGTGGAATGCCTTACACTCATATTATCCATTTACAGCACAGTTTTTCGTAACTCTGTATATAATGTATGTTCACACCAAAATTATGCCATTATACGTGTACTCTTTTTTTTTACATTACAATTCTTAATACACATATATACCAGTTTTTCATATCTCTGTTTGTATATAAGGTATGTTGACACCAAATTCAAATCTTCATGACATATATTTTGTATAATGATGACCATCACATTCCTACATCCTTGCTAATCCCCTTTCCCCTCCTTTTCCCTCCCACCCCTCTTCCTTATCTAGAAATAATCATCCTCCCATGCTCTCCTTCCCTACCCCACTTTGAGTCACCCCCCTTATATCAGAGAAAACATTCGGCATTTGGCATTTGTTTTTTTTGGATTGGCTAACTTCACTTAGCATAATTTTCTCTAATGCCATCCATTTACCTGCAAATGCCATGATTTGTTCTTTTTTATTGCTGAGTAGTATTCTGTTGTGTATAAATGCCACATTTTTTATATCCATTCATCCACTTAAGGGCACAGCCAGTAAAAGGACTTAAAAATTTGTTTTCTCTGTCATTTTGCTTCAGTGTCTCCTGCTCTTGATAGCAGAACACCAAGAGTCCCCAAATTTCATAATTTAGAGTTAATACCCCAGGGACTCTGGCTTGATTGGGATCAGTTTCCCACTCCTGAATTAATATCTTAAGTGGGAAGAGAGGTCACATAGGAGACATGACCATGGGAGTTTCATCCGTATAATATTAGAGCCATTCCCAGAAACTTATGGCTCACTGTTACCTCCAATTAGTATTTAATGTGATATTGAAATTTAGGGGTTTCATCCCCAATTACGTGTTCTTGCCACTATTACCACTGTACAACATGTCATTGAGGTGATTTATAATGTATTAAAAGTGGGGAAATGCAACCTATAAAACATATACAAGGAAGCGTATGAAAGGTATGAAGGGAATAAAAGGTAAGAGGGATGAGATCTGTTCTGAAATAGTTTTCACTTTAGTTTGGGGTATTCATGAAGAGAAACTTTGAAAGATGGCTGATCTTTGAAATGAGGAGTACAATCAGGATAAACAACAAAACAACAGTGAAAATAAATGAAGCAGTTTTACCGACAATGAGGAGACTACCCTAGAAGACTACCTAAGGCTCAAGTATTGATCCTTTTCACTCACACATGTTTCTGTTGCTGTTAACACTGAGTATCATTGAATAAGCACCAAATATAATGATCAGGGAGGCTGGAAACAAATCAGGTTAGCAACCACTGTAGTAGTACATCTGTAAAATTAAAGGGCCTAAGATAGCACTGAGAAAGAAGGATAGAGCTGAGAGCAAAAATATAATTGAAATGTAAATGTGCTAGAAAATAAACAAGTTCGGACCTAACAGGGTTGAGGAATATATAGTGTTACTGATCTAGAAAAAGATCAACAATTTGCCAGGAATATGATTAATTCTAACTAGGTTATTGTGATTGGGAAGAATTGAGAACTAGAGATTTGGAAGGAAGGTGTGAAACCTGGTGAATGTTCTAAAGGAGGATGTGTGGTGAACTGAAACTTAAGAGCATCCACACAGCTAGTATGAAATAGAGATGGAATTTTGGTTTTACTTCTTTACTTGCTATTATTTTCTGTGTTGTGTTTTCTGTATTTTATCTCTTAAGTAGACTATATGGTAATCAAAGTGTCCTTAGATTTGGAGAGAGGGGTAGGAAGTAGGATTTATTGGTGGGCATGACTAAAGAGGGGATAGGAAGCACAGGGGAAGCCCTCACAAGTACAGGGCTTGCCACTTGTCCAGGGACCATGATTAAGGATGAATAAGACCCATAGCCATTCAAGATGAACCACTTCTCAGTCACCATGTCTTCAAATTCATCTACATTAAACTTAGTAAAGCCCTACTTCTTTAAGATGTGAATCTTCTGTGACCAGGGAATTTGAACTTGAGCCCTGGCTAAGACCTTAATCACATCATGCTCCTTGTTCTGCAACTTGGTGCAGACGGACGTGATGATTTGGTCAGTATAATCTCTGATCACTGTGCCCTGGGGACTTCCAAAAGCATTTCAAATACCTGTCTGGAGCCCTCAATTATGAACAGCCTAGGAGACAGGAAGGTCCGTTGGATTCCTGTTTTCAAAGGACCCTTAGGGTAATCTAAACAAGCAACACACTTGAGTTATCACTGAGGATGCTGCTGTTTGCAAGTATTGCACCCTGGGGCCCCAAGAAGAAAGGTGCCCAGTCAGCTTAAATGGCTGCAAATTCCCACAGATTGAATACCTATGTGCTCGGCTTAAAGTACATATTCAGTTAAATCACTCAAAAAATTTTTTATCAGTTAGATTATGATGCTTTGCCTAACTTTTATGACAAGTTTTAAAAAATTCTAATTTGTTAAAATGAGATAATCAAATATATCAATTATATCTTCTATGTTTGCCTCAAAACCCACTGTTTCTAGCCTTATTTATCCTGTAAGCTTGGCTATATTTTAGGAAGGAATCTACCTCTGAAATATTTTAAATGGTACATAGCTTATCTGCTTAAAAGTATTAGAACCTAAAAAAAAAGAATGATTTAAAACATACAAAACAATTTCAGAATCAATACGATTATTCAGAATTTTAATGTATATTACTTTTGGTACCTTAATAGAGTAAGATAGTCTACAACATTGGTTTCTAAATTTATAAGTAGGATAAACCAAAGTTTATGGCTTTTTGAAATTATATCAGTATTGGTACATTGGGATTACAATTTCTCTTTTGATCTAATTCTAGTATGCCAACATATGATTGGAATTCATTCCTTCATTGCAAAACTGTACCTTTTGGTCTCTTTTTTATCTTAGCTTCTGTTAGTCTTAGATAGATAGCAGAAGTAGTTTGGGGGTCAGCATACACATTTACACCCACTTCGTGCATATCTTTGCCAGGGCATCGGCATTGTAGAATCAGGGAAAGATAGCTAATGTCTGTATTTGAATAAACTGTATTTTTGATATTTCTCTTTTTTTTCTCATTTACAGGGAGTTGATTTTCATATGGAGTAAACTACAGCTTAAATCTAATCCTTCAAAACAAGTTTTTGTAGATCAATGCTACCAGCTTTTAAGAACAGCAACTAATGTGAGAGTCATATTTCCTTTCATGAAAATCATTAAAGATGAGGTAAATAGGATATATTTATCCCTTGAATTTTAAATTAAATTTAAATGACAATTCACTGAAACTCGAATCTCTTATAAAATTTATTTGACTATAAAATTAAAAAATAAGGAGGATTTTAAGACTTCATTCTCCACATATTACATCCTCCTCTCCCCTAACTCCAAACTCCCAATGTGGGAAAAAAGTCAGTTTACTAAAAATTTGGGAACAGTTGCTTCAATAAGAAGCTATTATCTCTTATGACTCAATATGTTGTCACTTTTGACATTATCCTAAATTCCAACTGTAAAATATTAATTTGCAAATGACCTTTACACGTCTATAGGGAACACCCGTTCACTGTCACAGAGAAGCTTAGTTTATAGTTTAACACTGGTTTTTATATCAAAAGGAACAATGAATTCTGGCATGTTTTGAAACTTAAGGACAATATTTAAAGTATTTATCTAAAGTAATTATAAAAACTCATTGCCTGGTTTTAAAAATAGTCCTGAATCAAGTTTTTCTTGGGTCACTTGCAAATGATCATAATTCTATATATGAATTTTACATAGTTATGAAAGTGAATTCTGTACTTTCCCCTTCAAATTTTATTAACATGATCTTGAATACAAAGATAGGGAAGATAAAGCCACCCTTTATTTTGTAGCTCCATTTAATTAACTTTTTGTGGGTTACTTTTAAATATATAAAGAGGCATCAATTAAATAATATGTTGTTTTTTTTTAATGACTTTCACTTGAAATACTAACAAGACTCAATACAAAGTCAGGAAAGATAAAGCTATCCTCCATTTTCTAGCTCCACTTAATTCAGTATTTATGTAAGTTACTCTTAAATATGTAAGGAGACAGCTGTTTAATAATATATTTTGATTTTTTCTTATTTATGTATTTATCACATCACTCATTAGATGTATGACCATATAGTAATTGTGTTCCCATGATACAAAGTTGGCAGCATTGTTTGGTTTTTCCTTTGCTTTTTTATTTCTAATTTTTAAATTGCATTTATAGTGTCCTTACTGAATAGTTAACTATTATTCAAATGTATTGTCAGAGTTACCTCTCTTGTATAGAAACAAACTATGGTATAGAACACTTAACATATGATGAGTATCTGAGTCCACTGATAAGACTTCATTTTAAAAAATCAAGATGTATCCATATGCATCTATTTATCTCTATGTTTACATATAGTTCTCATTTGTACCAAAAGTTGAGAGCCTGTGTTATAGGAAGTTTATATTATGTTGATTTTTCTGATTATTTATAGAGCTTTCTTACTTTCGTGTGTCTGGTTAACCTAAGAATACATAATAATGAGGAAAAATTCAAAGATAAAATAAACATTAAAAATATGATGCTTAATGGTTTATGCCCTACTAAAAAAAGCTTTTATTTGATAGAGTAGATCATTCAAGTGTTTCAGTGCTATGAGAAAGGGCATAGTTAACAGTGAATTCGGAAGAAGGTATCACAAATAGTGTATCCGCCAAGGCTTCATAAAGAAGGGAAGATGCTTTAGGTTGGGTTTTAACAGATGAGGACAGTACTAACATTTGTAGAAAATTGTGTAGTTTATAGAACACTTGTTCCTCATTTTATTATTTATTTTTCACAACTGTCTGGTGGCATTAATGGGGGAACAAGAAGCATGGTGAAGTGGATGGGAGTTGAGATTTTAGGGGTTAGGGGTTGTTCCTAAAGGGACTTGAATGCTTCACTAAACATTGTAACTTCAGTTTATCATTCTGAAACCACTAAAGGATTTCAGGTAAGGAAATAGCCTATTTACTTCTCTGATGATCTTAAAATTTAAAAAAACTTGTGCATTTGAATACTTTATAATCTTACAAGTCAAGAGAGAGGATGTATACAGAACTTAAGAGAAAGGTAGAGAAGGAATTATGTTTTAAACTAGTGGATCTTGAATTTGTTATACTTGGAAAATGTAGGTGAGAAAATTAATTGTAATAGACTTAAAAATTTTTAATTCAGAAAGTACTTCAAGCCATAGATGATGGATTTATAGGAGCAACCAAAAGATAGTAGAATAAATTTGATTACCATTCATTGTGCAAACATTTATTCAGTGGTCACTATGTACCAAACTTCCTTCTAACCATAGGAAGATACAAAAAATGAGATACTGTGCCTGTGATTTAGGAATTCAAAGGTAGGCATATACGTAGATAATTATAAAACAATATGTAAATGCCTCTTAGATATAAATTGTTAAGTCTTTCTTAGTAGAAAGAATAGTGATTACTTTAGGGCAGGAGCCAAAATGAATGGAGAGAACTGATTACAGAGTAGAATTGATACTAAAATAAGGAATAGATCAGTAGGAATTTATCACCCGGATAAAGTGGGAACAGTCTCTGAAGTTAAGGCCTGTTTTTTGGAACTGTAATTAGTTAAGCAGGGTTTGACATCATGTAAGGAATTAAGAGGGCATGATGCTGGCAAGATAGTACTCTTTCCTGTCATCTATAATCATATGCAGGCAGTATGACTATGTAACATATGCACCATATATGTATGTACATTTTATATGTGTGTGTGTGTGTGTGTGTGTATGATTTTAAGTATTTATAGATTCTTTCAAATTATTAGAGGAATTATTTATTTATAACTTAAGATGGATCAACAATAGATTCCTAAATAAAGGCTGTTACATTTGTCTTTGAGTAATTAATAAAAGTTTTAAAGTTTGAATTATTTTTAGATATTTTCCAGTAGGCTTAGTATTCTGATATTCTGTTAGATTGCCAAATGATAACTAAACTCTGTTCATGTACACTGCATTTCCCCTTTATTTGGATAAACATTTCTTGGGGTGGGGTGGTAGTTCAGTAATAGAGCACTTACTCAGCATGCACAAAGCCCTAGCTTTGATTCCTAGTATTGAAAATAAATAATATTAACAGTAAAATACGTAATGTTTAATATTCCATTATAAAAATTTCCATAATAGTTTTGTTTTTTGGTTTTGGAACTGTAGATTGAACCTAGGGGTGCTTTACCACTGAGGTACTCAACATTTCTTTTTACTTTTAAATTTTGAGACAAAGCTTGCTAAGTTATTGAGGATGGCCTGGAACTTGTGTTCCTCCTGCCTCAGTATCCCCAGTCACTGGAATTACAGGCATGCCTGGCATAAAATTATTTATTTCTTAACACTATTTCCAAGTTAACCCTTCTGTCAAAGAATGTAAGAGTGGTATTTAAAGTAATAAAGTGATCAAGCTTGCATTTGTAAGCCATTGTAATAACTAGAAACTTATGAAATATTTTGTTGTGGTTACTGAGTTTGTTAAATTTGAAAATTAAAGTGAAAACTAATGTCCTATCTATTTCAGATTTCTTGTTTTAAAAAAAGAAAGATAATAATAAACAGGAGTTAAAGCTACCAATTAAGGAAAATTGCACCTTGAAATACTGTATGCTAAAAGGTTTCCCTTCATAATTGCATTTTTTTAAAAGTTGCTATAATCAATTTTTAAAAAAAGTTATTTAGTAGTAATATTTTTCTTTTTACAGGTTGAAGAAGAAGGCTTGCAAATTTGTGTTGAAATTTGTGGTTGTGCTCTACAACTTGACCTTCATGATGATCCTAAGACTAAATGTCTAATTTATAAAACAATTGCACATTTTTTGCCAAATGATTTGGAGATCCTCAGGATTTGTGCGCTTTCAATATTTTTTCTAGAGCGCTCCTTAGAAGCTTATCATACTGTTGAAGAGCTTTACAAACGTCCAGATGAAGAATATAATGAAGGCACAAGTAGTGTTCAAAATCGTGTTCGTTTTGAATTACTTCCAATTTTGAAAAAGGGATTGTTTTTTGATCCTGAATTTTGGAACTTTGTAATGATTAAGAAGAACTGTGTGGCATTACTGAATGATAAATCAGCAGTTAGATTTCTAAATGAAAGTACACTGGAAAATTCTACAGGTAATCTAAAAAAGACAGTGGAACAGCAAAGTTTAGACGAAGGGCTTGACTCTCTTACAGATCAGAGTACTGGAGAGACTGATGTTGATGATCTGTCTGGAGTGCAACCTAGAGGTCATGTTAATACAAAGAAAAACCTTACAGCTCTTAACACTTCCAAAGTGGATCACAATGTTCCTAGGCATCGGTGTATGCTATGCAACAAGGAATTTCTTGGTGGTCATATTGTAAGGCATGCCCAGGCTCATCAGAAGAAAGGCAGTTTTTCATGTGTAATATGTGGTAGGAAATTTAGAAACAGAGGACTTATGCAGAAGCATTTAAAGAATCATGTTAAGAAGATACAGAGACAGCAAATTGCTGCAGCTCAACAAGATGATCAGGAAATCACTGCTTTGGAAGAAATAAATTATTCCAGTCCTTCCATTTCATTTGAAAATGGAAATTCTGATAACAAGGATTTGGAAGTAGGAACTCTGACTGCTTCCAGTGGTGGAAACAAAGAAGTCATTCCTGAGCATGTGGCTGAATTCATTGAAATTCCCCTAAGTGTACCAGAAGATGTGATTGAAAACATTATTGAAAATGGCAATCCTGATACTTCTTTAAATAATGTTTCAGAGCCTTTACCTCAATGTGAGGATGACTACGGGGAGGAAGAAGATGAAGAAGGTGATTATGAAGATGATGATTATGACCTGAATCAAGAAACTTCAGTTCTTCATAAAATCAATGGAACTGTGTGCCATCCAAAAGACATATATGCTACAGATCAAGAAGGAAATTTTAAGTGTCCTGCTCTTGGCTGTGTCAGAATATTTAAGAGAATTGGATTTCTAAACACACATGCAAGGACTGTACATCCAACTGACTTAAATGTGCGACAAACAGTAATGAAGTGGAGCAAAGGAAAGTGCAAATTTTGCCAAAGGCAGTTTGAAGATTCTCAACATTTTATAGATCACCTTAATAGACACAGCTATCCAAATGTGTACTTTTGTTTGCATTTTAATTGCAACGAGTCATTTAAGTTGCCATTCCAACTTGCCCAGCATACGAAAAGTCACAGGATATTTCAAGCTCAGTGTAGTTTTCCAGAATGCCATGAGCTTTTTGAAGATCTTCCTCTGCTATATGAACATGAGGCTCAGCATTATTTAAGTAAAACACCAGAATCGTCTGCACAACCAAGTGAAGCAGTTCTTTTGGATGTTCATACAGATTCAAATTCTATTCATCAGGAGAAAGACTCATCTAGTAATGAGAAACAAACTGTTAGTCTGCCAGTTCCTACTAGCAAATCAAGGAGAGATTCTACAGAACCAAAGACATGTATAGAAAGTATGGAAAACAAATCAGACAGTTTAATCCAGAATGGAAATGAACATTCTGATGACACTGTTTCAAATATAAGCTTGATAGACCAAAAGATGCCTGACATAGAGCCAAATTCAGAGAATAGTTGTAGTATTAGTGATTTAGTCAATGGACACAGTGAAATAGAGCAAGCACCTCTAGTTTCATCAGATCCTGCTTTGAAAACTGATGGAAACAGAATCAGGACAGAAAATGGTTCTATTTTACCCTCTGTTGTACCACAAGAACATAATACCCTGCCAGTATCTCAGGCACCATCCAAACCAAATCTTGCAAGTGAACATACTTCATATGGCTTAATTTTAACAAAGCCATATGTTAGACCATTGCCTCCTAGTTACCTTGATGAACGGTACCTTAGTATGCCAAAACGCAGAAAATTTCTGACTGATAGAGTAGATGCCTGTTCTGATCAAGATAACATTTATAAAAAATCAGTGAAAAGATTAAGATGTGGCAAATGCCTGACCACCTACTGTAATGCTGAAGCACTTGAGGCTCACCTTGCACAAAAGAAATGTCAGACACTCTTTGGATTTGATTCAGATGATGAAAGTAAGTCTTCTATGTTCTCAGTAGATGTTATCTGTAGAAATATGAAGTTCCATAAATATAGGTATAATACATCTTTATGGGGCTAAAATAATTAACATTTGCACAACATATGTAATAAAGCACCACCCCACACATTACTTCCTTTAATTCACAAGCACTGTTAGGTGATATTCTATTCCTGTTTTATAGATCACATAACTGAAATTCACAAGTTTTGCATAGGCATAGGAAAGTAATTTGGTAAAGCCAGGACTTGAATGAAAGTTTTGTATATTTTATCCTACTTTTTCCACTGTATCACAGGCTTTTCTTAACATTTCATGTAATAAAATTTCTAGAAACAAAATAATTTTTATGGAAATGCTTTTTTAGCTGCATGCCAGAATATAAATCAAGTGAAGTTGAGTATTATAAAAAACAGAAGTAAGAAAATAGTTGAAAGAAAACAAAAAGGAGTAAAAAAAGAGCTTGCCTTTCTATTAATGTAATATCCTTTGACTAAGGGTATGAGTTAAATGGGAATCTGACTTAGAATTCCTTTTGAACACATATAAAATTTGAATTAATAGACATGTTCTGTTTTACAGGTGCCTGATAAAAATGTTTCAGAAAGATCTGTCGATCAAGCAGTAGTGTGAAAAAAAAACCCACAAAACACTACTTCAAGAAAACGCATCATCAGTTTGCTATTTCCCTGATGGCCTTAATTTTAGAGTGGTCTCGGATTACTAAAGATGAAAGACAAAGCACATTTTCTAGAATGAACTTGCAGAGGAGATGTGCTGGTTTTAGACTCCAAAAGGGTTATTATAAAACTCCCAAAGTACCAGTTATCCAGAAAACCACATTTTCAAAAACTTTATGATGATTAATAGCAGCATGTTCAGTTTTGCTTATGTGAAAACATGTTTGGGCAACAAATCGGAGGAAAAAAATAACCCAGCTATGGCCTTACAGAAAAGGAAAAGTTAACCCAGTATAAAAAAGGAGGTGGAGGGAGAGCTGGTTTAAAATAATAAACAATGTAAATCATTCTACAAATGGAATTTGTTTTTTTGTCATGCATAATCAGATTATGTCCTTCTTTCTGGTCAACCTTTTAAGGAACCACTGCTATTTGGTTTGTGATATAATTTAGTAGCTGATACATAGAAAAAAGCTTGCTTTATCACCGTGCTATCTATTAAAGATTGTAATTGTTTCCAGATTGATTAGACAGACCAAACCTCAATGAATGATGATACCAGCATTTCAAATTAAAAAAACAATAAAAAAACAATGCTTTGCTAATGAGCTCTTGATAGAACCTTCCACTTTCCACTTTTGTAATATAAATTGATTATATTTTAAAAGACATCAGTGTCAGTTAAATGGAAAAGTACCATTGGTAATTTGGGGGTGTTATGGGAGGAATCTAAGACCATTACAGGCTACGTAGTTGAAGGAAAACACTGAATTGCAAATTCTTCAATGTGAATAATGGTAAAAGCACACTGGGATATTTTATTTGTATATAATGTTAGGACATTGCTTGATGATTCATAGTAAGGTCCTTCAGACATTAGTATGAGTTATCTAAGTACAGTCCTATGAAAATAACTGGCTTAAAAAATGTCAGCTAAGAATCAGGTTGAGAATTCATTCATTTTATTTAGTTACAATTAATTCCAAAATAAGCCATACTACTTATGTTTTTTATTCACTAGTGATGAATTTGGTCTGCATAGTAATGTTTATATATAAAAGTAAGTATTTACACAAAAATTTGCACAGCAGGAACATAATAAGAGATATATTAATGCATTATTTTCCTTGGTGACCAGTAATTTTCCTAAGGAAGATTTAACTTAATAAATTATTAAAACATACATTTTAAAATTTTTTAAAATACCCTCTCAGATGTTTTCCATTTGTCCCATTGTTGAAAGGAGGATGCTTAAAGATCTTTTACCTAACAGTATGTTAATGTAAAACAGGAGTAAAAAGGTAAAATGCAAAGGCAAATTCTTTAAAAAACTGACCCACTAATATACAGATGTCAGCCAACTATTCCAATTATTTCAGCTGTTAAATTTTTTTTTCAAGGCAGACAATCTCATCAGATCCTACTACTATAAATTTTAGGAATACTGGAGCTTTTTGAGTAAGATTATTAGGAAAAAATGGGACATTTCTTCCAGAGTAGCATACAAACTTTTATTAAATTTGATTTCCAGGTCATATTAGATCAGATGATCTAAAAACTACGTCTCAGTTATATTAGTTTATTTATCATGGGCATTCACTACTATGCAATGATGGTCATTACGTCCATTCCAATGAGATTTAAGTTTGTTTTGTTATGTAGCCTACATTAGGCTGTGGAATTTACATGTAGATAACAAATAAATAAAAACAACTCCTAATCAAGGTTTTAAATCCTTTCTTTAAAGGACAATGTTTTCCATACTTCGTGATACTGAAAATGTAATAATTGAGTTTTATTTCAGTTCATTCTAAAAATACATCTTGTAATAAAAATTTTGTTTGGAAACTGGTTCATCTGGACAATGAAGTTTTTTTGAAATAAAATTTCTGCTTTGTACATTCCAGAAGTTTAAAATAGAATTTTGCCACATTTTTTTTACTTTTAATTTTTTAAGTTGTAATCATTGACATAAATATATGCCCACAATGTGTTAATATTTTCACTGATTTTGAAGTTCATGCTAAGATGTTTCAAACATATTCCACGTGATATTATTTTGTTTTTACTCCAAAGTTTTACTCCTACTTTTGTGTTAGAAAATTTTCTGCAAGAGATCAAATTGGTTGATATAAATCAAGAAATGTCATAAAGTTCTACTAACTACATTATTCTTTTTATTTATACACTTCTCAAGTAACACCTGTTGAATGAATGTATTTTCTTCTGTCTTCTAAAATGTAAACCTACATCTTTTTGCTTTTATGGAGTCCATAAAATTCTAACAGTTTTAATTTGGGATTCAGAAAAAAAAGGAAAATGTCTTTTTACTCCTCAGATTATTTTCGTTTTCTTCTTTTCTACTTCTCTTGAGGATATGACATCTTACATGAATCAAGTTTCAAATCTTTGTTTTGAATAAAAATTTCCTTCAAAAAATTAAATATTAACTTTCTGCTGTGTCAGCGAGGTCAAGAAAAGAGCAAGTCTGAATTTTTGCTGCTCACCATAGACTATACTGAAAAGGGGAATCTCCGTGGACAAGGACACTGGTACTTTGGGCTTTAGCCATATTCCTTTTTTTAAAAAACCACCAACTATATAACGCATACATAATTTATATCATTGAACTTGTGATTCTTTTCAAATCACACAGAAGGTTCAGCCGTACTCCTTTCACGTTTGGTTTAATACTATTGTATGGGTGAAAAAACCTAAAAGGGATGATAGTGTTTATTTTTTAATTTATTTGGTACTGTAAAACACCTTTTTGGAATGAGTAAATGCTGCATACGCATTTTGGAATTGTAATATGTGAAAGATATTACCGATTCAGCAAGAAAGGAAATTTGTGCTTCCTTGTTGAACATTAAATTATTTTACTTTGCATTTTATAAGAGTACAAATTAAAACTGAGCCATTGAACTGCAATAAATCAACAATAGTGTCTCATTTCAAGAAATTTTTTGTACTGTACATAGATTTGTTCAATAAAACATTGTCCTTGTTGATAATGCAAGTGTTCAGTTTTATGTAGTACATGCTTTCAAAAGGAATTAGGCTTATTTAAGGTAAAATATTTTATGTCTCATCATTAAAGGAATGGGGTATTTCAGTTACTGTCATTACCACAATCAGATTATTGTATGATTTTTTATAAACATTATAATACAGAAAAACAGTTTACACAAAATAGACATTTTAAAACATTATTTTAACAAATGACCATATGCAGGAACAACAGATGACAGAATTCTATTATTAAAGACACTTCAGGTAAGTGGTTTCAATGTGATAAAGAACTCTGCTTAGCGGGGGTAAAGAAATACCAGAACTCTCCACCAAAGGCTTACCCATTCATTCACTGTCTAGTGATATGGACATGTCTATATTTGTAATTCTACAAAGATGAACTTGTGGTTGAGCTAAAAAATTTTTAAAAAATAGACTGAAGTCATGCTAAAATATTAGGATATCCTGGGCATGGTGGCACAGGCCTGTGGTCCCAGCAGAAGGACCATTTGAGCACAGGAGTTTGGAGCAAGCCTGAGAAATGGGGATACTCAATCTCTTATACAGGGAGATCTAGATGTGTAGCTCAGTGGTAGGGCACATGCTTAGCATGTGTGAAGCTCTGGTTTTAATCCCCAGCACATACAAATATTAAAATATAAATCACAATGAAGTACATTCTTACAAAAGTATTTCAGTCGGGAAATGTTTAGGTCAATTAATAATGTGTAACCAAAAATGAAGTTGTTGGGCATAACACTTAAGTGGGAAAAATAAGGCTTTGTGTAGAAAAATAACCACTTTTAATGCAATGAGATAGAACTGCAAGTGAAAGTATAGATAATGATTTATCATGATTTGCACATATTACACAAATGAGAAAGTTGTTGAAACAGTATAGTTCTGAGGTGTAAAATTCTGATTGGGGATTCAAGACAGCAGTTTAGAGGAAGGCTACATTCTTAGCTGCTCTGCAGCATGGGATTCAAGCAGCCAGTACTGCTCCTCAGTGAGATGGGTGAAAGAGATTTCGCTAAAATTCAATACTGGACAATCAGAATGTCATAATCAAATTTGGGTATATTAACCAAAAATAACAGAGTACCTTGGAGCTGAGCCAGTTGCAGCTGTAATGGCACTGGTTTACCACAGAGGGAGGGAGAATAGATTTGGTACATAAAAACCTGAGATCAGAAAAGAGGCCTGAACTTAACTGATCCCGAGGCTGCTCTAAGCACTAGTGTTTGAAAAGAAAAAGGCTGTTTCCCAACTGGCCTCAGAACTGAGGCAGAGCCATCTTGAAGTGGCCACGCTGCGGCTGTTGTTGCAGAGCTAGGATATCAGCAATTTTAGCATTTTTAATATAGTTATTTTCCTTGTCTTCTCTTTTGAGAGTTAGGATTCTTTGATTTGTATATTTTTCAGTGTATTTGTTTAGTTTCTTCCGTTAACAGCCAAATTCTGTCCGACAGCGCTTACTGTGCGGCATAAGGTGTACCTAGAAGAACATGAGTGAAACAGGAATAGAGAAGATTGTAACTAGGAGGATTCATGTTGAAAAAGGAAGGGGGAGTCCAGCTTACTTCTCTTTTAGTCTGGAGGCTCGAATGACCAGCAGAAGTAGGCCGGAAATATGAATGGGAGTATGAATACACTTAGGGATTAACTCTGGGAAGGCTGTGTTCTGGGTACCATCATGTGTGGAGAACTGGCTCCCATTCTTGGGATGCTCCTTAGATCCAGAACCCCAAAAGATAGGAGCAACTTTCAGGCCCTAAGGGTGTGTTGATCAAATTTCTCTAGAGCAGATACCACTCAAAACAGTCCCTGAGGCCTGATTAGACCTAAGCCCCACCCCTCAGAAGTCCATTCCCTTAACTCTGAAGCAGCTGCACCCTAGGAGTGCACTGATCTGGTCTGTGTTGACAAAATTCCAACTGACAGTATATTCCACTCCATTCTACCTTATACTGCTGAGAAGGAAAGCTGAGAATTATTTGAATGAGATTCAGACTTAAGCTACTACAACTCGCAGCTCAGAGAGCAATATAAAAAGAGTAAGGGTTTAACAACCCACAGCCCTTGCTTTTGCTTTTAGGACATAGCTCAAGAAGACATGGAAAGACAGGTGGGCATAGTCAATGCCCATACATCTTTGGTGACTATTTTGACCACCATTAGTGGAAACTAAGGTCTCCCCGCCCCCAACCCATGTGTGTGTGTGTGTGTGTGTGTGTGTGTGTGTGTGTGTTTTCTTGATGTGCTGATTGGTTCAGAGACATATACATATATATTTGTCTCTTTTTTCCTTCAATTTTCGCATTTTCAGTTTTTACTGTAGTTATTTTTCCTTGCTTTATCTTTTGTTGGTTTGTATGTTTTCATTGTATTTTTTCTATTAACAGCCAAATTCTATTATTCTCTCCTTTGTTTCTGGTATTTGTTCTCTTCCTTCTTTATTACCATCACATGCTACATCTCTTCTGCAGTCTCTGTTCAATTTTTTATTTTCTCTTAACTGTATCTTGATTATCTTTTAAAACTGATTTATGTAACTACTGCCCCTATCATTATTGATGATGAAATTAGTAGTGCTGTGGATGATACAGTTGACAGTAGTATGCTTTAAAGCCAGATTTAGTTCATGGCTATGGTTTTTACTACTGACAATTGCTGACCTCACATTCCTGTTTTGTTGGCAATAATATTATACATGTCATAATAGGAACTGGGCATTTATTTTAATGCTATATATAGTTTGCATTGGTTCTATTATTTGTTTTGCCCTATTCTGTGAGGTTCTGGGAACCTACATGGATACTGTAAGTTCAAAGGTTAGAGACTCTGCTGTTGGACTAAACTCAACCTTTTGGTAGTGCACCTTGCTGCTGCACACACAAATTAATGACACTCAATCTTTAGTTACCCTTTAATACAAAGAATACAAAAGATGAAAATCCAAACTAATGACCAGACCCCAAGAAGAAACAGACAGGGGTAGGTCCCCAGGTCCCACCTACAGACATCCACTGACAGCAAAAACAGAATTAACACCAAGGCTATGGATACCACACTTACAAGGGGAGTCTCAATCTAGATTATTCTAGGACATTTTGGCAAGTGAAGACTGTGCCCTAAAAAGGCCCATACATAAGAACAGAAGAGAAATGCCTCCCAACAGATTCAAAAACAGAAATACAAGAAACATGAGCACACAATGTTATATGACACTTCCTAGAGTTCATAATTCACCAGTAACTGACCCAAAGATACTGATGTGGATGAAATATCAAATAAAGAATTCAAAGAATCATTAAAAAGTGATCAAGAGAATGCAGAATAACAACTTTATGATAAGGAAGTAAGTACAGGATATGAATGAGAAATTCAATAAGGAGATAGAAATATTAGGGGAAACCCCCAGAAATCTTGGAAATGAAAGACACAATAAATCAAATAAAATGTTCAGTTGAAAGTTTCTCTACTATAGTAGGCCATGTTGAAGACGGAATCTCAGAGCTGGAGGACAATGTGGCAGCCTTGAACAGTCAGTCATTATTAAAGGAAAAAAAGTGACCATGATCAGAATATACAAGAACTCTGGGGCAACATTAAGAAAGCAAATTTAAGAATCACTGAAATTGAGGAGGGTTTTGAGATGTAGGCCAATGGAATAAATTAATATCTTCAGGAAAATAACAATAGAAAATGTTCTGAACCTTCAGAATGAGATGGACTTTCAGATACAGAAGGCATTCAGAACCCCGAGATCAAAATAAAAACCTTTTCATGACATATTATAATTAAAATGCCTAATATACAGGACAAAAATAGAATTTTAAAAGCCTCAAGCAAAAAGATTAGGTCACATTTAGAGGTAAGCCAATCAGAATCATTTATGATTTCTGAGTACAAACTCTCAAAGGCAGTAGGGCTTGTAATGATATATTCCAAGTCCCAAAAGAAAATAACTCAATCAAGGCTGCTATATCCAGCAAGGTTATCCTTCAAAATTTAAGAGAAATATAAAATTTCCAAGATAAACAGAGATTAAAAGAATTCATGGCAACTAAACAAGCACTACAAAATTTAGTTAGTGAAATACTCCATACAGTAGAAATCAAAAACAAACTCAAAAGAGTTCACAGATGAACAACTTCCATTTGAAGAGTAGCTAAACAAATAAGAATCTAGCTCATTATAAGTAAATAAAAATGCCAGGAATTAATAAACATCTCTCTGTAGTAATGTAAGTGGTCTCAACTCTAATTAGAAGCCATAGGCTGGCAGAATGGATTAAAAAATGAGACCCAACTGTAAATTGTTTGTAAAAGTCACATCCTACAGGCTCGAAATTCATTCTATAAAGCCAATATCACACTCATACCAAAACCAGATAAGGACACATCAATACAAGAAAACTATTATAGACAAATATCCCTGATGAACTTTAGATGCAAAAGTACTTTGTAAAATACTAGCAAGTCATGTTCAATATTAAGAAGACTGTACAAGGGACCAAGTTGGTTTTATTCCAAAGACACAAGAATGGTTTAATATATACAAACCAATAAATGTAATTCATCACATAAATCTATTTATGCAAAAAAATCAGAAAAACAATTGCAGGGGATCCAACATGGCGGCCGGCGAGGAAGCAGCGATTCCAACGTCTCCACTTTAACGGGATAAGAAAGACCCACCTGAACAGATGCAGCCTANTATACAGTCATTTCAAAGAGAACAAAGAGGCTAAGTGTAATAAGATTGTCAAACAGAACTGAGGGCTCCCTTGAGATTCAAACTTATGGAATTCTCTGTGGTTCTTTCTAGATTTAAAATGATTACAGAAACAAGCCCTGAAGGAGCTTGATCTAGAATGTTTGGGTAAAGCTCTTCTAAACTAAGAGCAAAACAACAGAAAACCTCTGATTTTTAGGCATTAAATGCCAAAGGAATCAAATGCCCAAGAATATGCAGGAAAGTGAGGGAAATGAC